TCTTTCCCATTCTATTGTTTTCCTCTATTTCTTTGCATCGATCACTGAGGAAAGCTTTCTTTTCTATTCTTTGAAACTCTGCATTCAAATAGGTATGTCTTTCCTCTCCTCCTTTGCCTTTTGCTTCTCTTCTTTTCTCAGCTATTTGTAAGGCCTCCTCAGACAACCATTTTTCATTTTTGCATTTTTTTTTCTTGGGGATGATCTTGATCACTGCTTCCTGCACAGTGTCATGAACCTCCATCCATAGTTCTTCAGGCACTCTGTTTATCAGATCTAATCTCTTGAACCTATTTGTCACTTTTTTTTGGGGGGGGGGGTATCTTACTGTTCATAATTTGCCCCAGCTGTGCATGTATGCAGTTATTTTTAGTTCTTTATGGCTTTTTTGTATTCTGTGCTCAGGATGCATTTGTTCAGGTACAGAGCAGTGCTGTAGGGGGGGGTCCCAGGTTCCAACCTTTCTCAGGTTGATGTGAAACTTTGTTCTAATAGAGCCCAGTTCATGATGAAGAAATTGTTCAGAGCATATCTCTGTGGGTGACCTTTCTTGTGTTTCTGGAGTAATAACTATTTGTCATTTTATATTTTTTTATTATAATGTTTTTTGGAAAAGAAGAATTAAATGTTTGAAATTAATTAAACCCATGAAAAAGAAGTTTCTCTTGCTCAGGAACATGAAAGTTAGTCTGGAATTAGGACAAACCCTTTCTACTTAAGTCTGTCCAGACTGCCACTTCAACCCAGTACTGCTTACTCAACTCAGACTTTTTCAGGGTAACTTTGTAAAACTACTCCTGCTCTGAGCCTCAGTGTACTCACCTGTAACCCAGAGGAGACCACTTTGCCTGTATAGTTAAAACTTCAAATGTGTTCCAGTTCTGCAGCAGTTACAAAAAACACTTAAGAAAGAAACAGAGGCATAGGCCCAGAGATAGAGGCATATATTTTTCTCAGCCTGTCTTTCTCTATCTCTGAATCAGGGGTAAATCATAAATTTGCTTGTGTCATCCTTGGCATTAAATTCTTTTATGGTTTCCCATCACCCTCAGGACAAAAGTCTCAGTTGTTCATTATAGCTCACAGGGAGCTCTAGAACTGAACTGACCCTCCAGAGTTGCTTCCAGTTAACATAAAGGGTAACTTCCATATCCTGCATCAACCAGTCATTGGATGCTGGCCACCTGGAAGAGAGAACTTAGAGGATGAAGGTTTCTTGGGCTGAGTGCCAAATGGATGAAGGGTGATGCAGTTGCAGCAGAGTGTGGGTTTCGGCGACAGGAAAGGGCTTCCTGAAGTGGGTGAAAAGCTTACTAATTGGTCTTCCTGTAGAAATTTATTATCCCTGGATCCTTCCTGTTACAGTTGGCAGCAAAGGACCATCTTTCCCCACATTAAGGTTCTCCTCCTGGTATCTTTGTGGCAGATCAGGGGGGTATGTTGATTTTAAGAATTAAACAACGTATTTTCCTCATACAGAATAATCTTACCTGAAGAATCTAACAAACAGAGGAGGAAAGAGGAAGGAATGGAGCTTTCCCAGGTAAAAATAATATTCTTTGTTGATCTGTTAACTCTTTCCTAAAATGACACGATTTGGGCTTGTTAAACTTCTCTGTCCATGAAGTTTCCTGCCTAAAGACTCAGGGCCTTCCCTGAGTCTCCTCTCATCTCCCTGTAGATTCTTCCTCACTGTGACCCAGTGACCCGGAACTTGGGAAGAGGGTCCTTTAGGTGATCCTCCTGTGAAAGGTTTTGTTCTCACGTGGACTGGAGGTGGGAGTAGGCTCTGGTGTCAGTGAGGTGGGGCAGAGAACCCTTCTGCGTGCCCTTCAGCTCCATGTAAACCAAAGAGGCTATATATGTAAGTAATGTATCGGTTGGCCAAAAATTTTGTTCAGCTTAGAAAAACTCAAATGAACTTTTTGGCCAATGCAATACTAATGTGGGTAAATACCTGAGGAGGCGTAGAATGAAAGACTGATGGGGAAACATGCTTTCTGAGATTTTAAAAGTTAAAGAAGTGAATCCGTGTGTTTCTGGGTCTAAAATATTTCTGTACACTAGCAATAAACAAATTGAAAGTGAGTAAAACAATTGCATTCACAAGACCATCAGAAAGAGTAAGAATTAATTTAAGGAATTGGAAGATTTGTACAATGAAAACTACAAGTATTGATGAAAGAGTTGAAAGAAAAATAAATATCAAGATATTCTGTGATTGCTGATTGGAAGACTTAGAGTAGTTAAGATGGCAGTACTCGCCAGAGTGATACAAGGATTCAGAACAATCCCTGTCAGAATCCCAGCAGTCAATCTTGTACAAATGTGACCCTGGTCCTAAAATTCATTTTGAATAGATACCCAAAATAAATGTGAAAAAGAACAGAGTTGGAGGGCAGCATCAAACCATACTGCAAACCAGGGGTAAACAAACCTGTGTTTTCAGCATGAGAAGGGTAATATAGATCAAAGTGATAGACTGAGTCCACAAGTAAACCCATCCATCTATTGTCTATTTCTTATTTTTTAATTAATTATTTGGCTGTGTTGGGTCTTAGAGGTGGCACATGGGCTTCTCTCTAGTTTTGGTGCTCAGGCTCCAGAGTGAGTGATCTTAGTTGTCCCACAACATGTGGGATTTTACTTCCCGTACCAGGGATCAAACCTGGGTCCCCTGCATTGGAAGGTGGATTCCACTGGACTCCCAGGGAAGTCCCAGTCTATTCCTCTTTTTGAAAGAATGCCAGAAGCATTCACAGAAAAAGAGTATCTTTTTTTTTCTTAGACGAGTAGTCTCTTTTAAAAAAAAAAAATTGAAGTGTAGTTGATTCACAATGATTTGTCAATGTCTGGTGGTGTACATTATAGTGATTCATTTATATATATTATATATATATACACACACACACATTTTTTATATTCTTTTCCATTATGGTTTATTATAAGATATTGATGATAGTTCTCATGCTGTACAGTATGACCTTGTTATTTATCCATTCTATATAGAATGGTTCACATCTGCTAATTCCAAACTTTCAGTCCATTCTCCTCATCCCACCTCCCCCTTGGCAACCACAAGTCTGTTCTTTGTTGGTGAATTTGTATCAGTTTGATAGATAGGTTCATTTGTGTTATATTTTAGAATCCACATATAAGTGATATCATATGGTACTTGTCTTTCTCTGAGTTACTTAGTATGATAATCTCTAGTTGCATCCATGTTCTTGCAAATGAAATGGCTTCATTCTTTTTATGGCTGCATAGTATTCCATTGTATGTATGCATGATGTCTTGTTTAGCCATTCGTCTGTCAGTGGACATTTATGTTGTTTCCATGTCTTGGCTGTTGTGAATAGTGCTGCTTTGAACATAGGGGTGCATGTATCTTTTTGAATTATAGTTTTGTCCACATATATTTCCAGGGGGTGGGATTGCTGGATCGTATGGCAACTCTATTTTTAATTTTTTGAAGAACCTCCATACTGTTTTCCATAATGGCTTTGTCAGCTTACATTCCTACCAACAGTGTAGGAGGGTTGCCTTTTCTCCACACTCTCTCCAACATTTGTCATTTGTAGACATTTTAACGATGACCATTCTGATCAGTGTGAAGTGAGGTACCTCATTTTAGTTTTGGTTTGTATTTCTCTGATAATTAATGATGTTGAGCGTCTTTTCAGGTGCCTTTTGCCCATCTGTATGTCTTCTTTCACAAAATGTCTGTTTAGATCTTCTGCCTATTTTTCGATTGGGTTCTGTTTTGTTTGTTTTTGAATTGTGTGAGATATCTGTTTATTTTGGAAATTAAGCACTTGTTGGTTGCATCATTTGCAGGTATTTTCTCCTGGTTTGTAGGTTGTCTTTTTTGTTTCTTGATGGTTCCTTTTGTTATACAAAACCTCATAAGTTTGATTGGTCCCACCTGTTTATTTTCACTTTTATTTCTATCGTTTTGGGAGGCAGACCTAAGAAAAGTAATTTTTTTAGTTTAGCCATGTTATAGTATGTATCAATACTGCATTCCTTTTCACATCTAAAGTGGGTCTCTTGTAGGCAGCATATGTTACACTCAAGTTTTTCAATCCAGTCTGTCACTCTGTGTCTTTTATTGGAACATTCAAGACATTAAAGGTAATTATTAATAGATAGGTATATACTGCCAATTTAAACCTTGTTTTCCAGTTGATTCTGTATTTCTTCTTTGTTTTTTTTCTCTGTTTCTCCTTTTGCAGTTTGATGGTTTCCTTTTATATTATGCTTGTGTTCTGTTCCTTTTGGTTTTTGTGAAATAGTTTTTGGTTTATGGTTACCCTGTTTTTCAAGTATGTTAACCTCTTCCTATATCTACTTTCTTTAGGCTGATAGTCACAGAAGCTTAAACACTCTTTTTGTTAAAAAATTAACAAATCTTAATTTTCTCCTGGATTGGAAGAATGAATATGGTTTAAATGGCCAAACTCCTCAAATACATCTACACATTTAATGTGATCCGTATCAAATTACCCATGACATTTTTCACAAAAGTAGAACAAATAATCCTAAAATGTATGTGTATATTCACGAGAGAAATCAGACAAAAGGTTACATTTTATACTATTCTGCTTATATGCAAATATCCCAAAGAGGTACATCTATTGACATAAAGCATTAGTGGTGTCCAGGGACTGATAGCAAATGGGGAAGAAAGAAACAACTGCTGAATGGGTAAAAGATTTCCTTTGGAGATGATTGAAATATTTTTGAATGAGGAAGAGGTGATGTTCAACATTGTAAATGTAGTAAATGTCACTGAATGGTACTTTAAAAGTGGCTAACTTTGTTAATATGAATTTCACCTCAGTTTAAAAAAAATTGGAGGATTGTAACTTGCTCAGAATTATTTTACATGGATCACTCAGAACATTCATTCCAGCCAAGCCAGTCCTTACACGTCTGATTCTGTAAGACTGATTTTCAGAACTCTCTCCCTGTTCACTTGGTGAAATGTTTCCTTTCAGGGACTGTTTACATTCAAGGATGTGGCCGTAGAATTCACTCAGGAAGAGTGGGAATGCCTGGACCCTGCTCAGAGGGCCTTGTACAGGGACGTGATGCTGGAGACCTACAGGAACCTGCTCTCCCTGGGTGAGGAAACCGTCTCTGTTTGTAATTTTTTCCCATACGAATGTTCTCTCTGACCTTAGGTAACAAATTTCCAAAACATTTATTGTACACTATATATGTATATTTTTGCCATATTATTGATACTCCATGAAATCCCATAGTTGAGATTTCAGACAGTTTTCCTTAATTCTTAAACTTTATACATATGTGTGTTGATCTGAGCCTCATATTTCGAAAGTCAGTGCTTCTCAAGATACTTTTTACTTTTCGTATTGTGTGTTCCTTGTGGAATGAAAAAAAATTTTTTTTGTACTTAACTCAAGAGTCTTTTAGAATTCCAGAGACTATTATTTTGTATAATTGTGGTTATTTATTAACTTACTTGCTAGATTTATCATGATTTATGATAAATCAATTATTATGTATGAATTATTGTGATGTATAGATTTGTAAAAATATTTTTTCTTGCATCATGTTCACATGTGATTAAACAGTATTATAAAGATTAGGGATTAGGGAAGACAGTCTCAAATCTAAATTACAATTTCATGCCTCCAATTCTGTAAGCCAGTATGTAGATAGACTTTCTACTTATGGAGTATCATTTAATTATCCAAGTTATATGGCAAAAAAGTGTGCATTGTACATTGTATGTACTTGAAATTTTATTATCTGAGGTAAGAGAAAACATTAATGCTGGAAAAAGTATAAAAAGAAAACTAAAAAAAACTATCATAATGTTTGAAGACCATGACTGAAAAACTTCTATGATCACTGTATTATTTTTTGTGTAAGTGTCTAATTCAACATGAAATATTTTCCAACTCTATGTAATAGGAAGCTATTCTGCCACATTTGCAATCAAGGAATTATCATCCCCCAAAGAGGACATCAATAAAGGAGAATTATGCCACCTGATGACATTAGAGAAAAATGAAACTTATGGCATCAAGGATTTTGACCTCAAGGAAGTCTGTCAAAATATGCAGGAGAGTGAGAGTGAGTGGGGATGTGATGCAAGAAATGACAAAGAAGTGCTTTTGACCCACAACAAAAATCTCAGTCAGAGGGAAGATCAGGATAATAAATCCTTAATTAATTTTCCTCAGAATGTTTCTGTAAGAAGTAATACATATGAATATTTCACGCATGACAAGCCATTCATAAGAAATTTGTTAATAATGAAAGATAACATAATCATCACTGGAAACAATATAAAGTGTTTGGACAGTAGAACTGGAGCAAGACTGCAGGCACAGGTGGCTGAACTAAAGAGATTTACAACTGAGGAGAAAATGTGTGGAGGCACTCAAGTTGAGAAGTCAGTTGGCAACGGGTCCTCAGTTTCCCAACTTCATCAAATTCCTCCTACTGTGGAAACCACTGTGTTATCTGCCCAACACAGGAGAACACACATTCAAGAAAAATCTTACAACTGTAATGACTGTGGGAAGGCCTTTAGCAAAAAATCAAACCTCACAAATCACAAGAGAATTCACTCTGGACAGAAACCTTACAGATGTAGTGACTGTGGTAAAGCCTTTAACCACCAGTCCCACCTTACAGCACATCAGAGAGTGCATGCAGAAGAGAAAGCATGTAAATGTGATGTCTGTGGCAAGGTCTTTAGTCGAAATTCACATCTTGTGAATCATCAGAGGATGCACACTGGAGAGAAACCTTACAAATGCAGTGAATGTGGCAAAGCTTTTACCCAATTTTCACACCTTAGCAGACATCAGAAGATGCATGCTGGAGAGAAACCACACACATGTAATGAGTGTGGCAAGCATTTTACCCAGCGTTCAAACCTTATGGCACACCAGAGAATTCATACAGGAGAAAAACCTTTTAAATGTAATAAATGTGGTAAGGCTTTTATTGAACGGTCACAGCTTTGGGGTCACGAGAGAACTCATACTGGAGAGAAACTTTACAAATGTGATGAGTGTGGAAAAGCCCTTACAAGACATTCATATCTTACGCAACATAAAACCATCCACACTGGAGAAAAACCTTATAAATGTAATGAGTGTGGCAAAGCTTATACCCAGTTTGCAAGCCTCACGAGGCATGTGAAAACACACACTGAAAAGAAACATATGCCTCACACATGTGGCCACGGTTTTATTCAAAGCTCAAAGTTAAAACAATTCAGACAAAATTTATGCGTGTATTCCAGCCTTACTCAGCTAATGGGACTCTATCAGGGTGGAAGAACACATACAGATGCCCAGCAGACACATGAAAAGATGCTCAGCATCATTAATCATCAGGGAAATGCAAATCACAAGGTCAGTGAGATACCACATTATAATTATTATCAGAAAGACAATGAATAACAAACATTGGCAGTGCTGTAGAGAAAAGGGTACTCCTGGGCCTTGTTGCTGGTATTGTAAATTGGTGCATCATTTATGCAAAACAATATGAAAGATTCTTAGAAATTAAAAAACAACAAACCTGTTACGTGAGCCAGGTTTTGCACTTCTGGCCATTTACTGGCAGAACAGAGAAACACGAATTTGAGAAGATATAGGCACTCTTACTATACACTGTAGCATTATTTCCAATGGCCAAGATATGGAAGCAACCTAAGTGTCCATTAATAGATGAAAAATTAGAGGAGATGTGTTGTGTGCAAGGCACACACACATACAGGAATATTAATGAGCCATAAAAAAGTCTAGCCATTTGCAACAACATGGATGGATCTAGAGGATTATACTAAATGAAAGAAGTCAGATGTAGAAAGACAAATACTGCATGATCTCCTTATATGTGGAATATAATAAACAAAACACAGTGAAAACAGCTTCATAGATAATGAAAAATAAATGCCTGGTTGTTGCCAGAAGGAAGGGTGTTGTGGTTCCAGGTAAAAGAGATGAAGAGGATCAAGTCATACAAACTTCTCGGTATTTATATATGTCATGGGACTGTTATATCCTGTGTAAGGAAGATGTTCAAAAATATTGTAATGACATAGAGGATAGATGGCTATATGCATTGTTGTAATTGTTTTTATAAAGCAAATGTTGCCTCATGTATGTAGTACAGCCAAAATGAATATAATCAATTATATTTCAATAAAAGAGATTCAACCTTAGAGAGAAACCATACAAAAGTAATGTATATGATCTTTAATATTTACTTGATTGAATTTCTGTTATTTATACTAAACCTGCAGGCATCAAAAGGACAGTAAGGGACTGTTACACTCTACATGTATATACTTGAAAACATATGTGAAATGGTAAAGGCAGAAAGAAAGAAAAGTGAAAGTGAAGTTGCTCAGTCCTGTCCGACTCTTTGCGACCCCATGGACTATAGCCTACCAGGCTTCTCTGTCCATGGGATTTTCCAGGCAAGAGTACTGGAGTGGGCTACCATTTCCTTCTCCAGGGGATCTTCCAACCCAGGGATCGAACCCAGGTCTCCCACATTGTAGGCAGATGCTTTACTGTCTGAGCCACCAGGGAAGAACCTACCTTAAATCACACATGTGAAACAGATCATTTGAATGAATACTTTGAATTACAGAATTAATGTGTAATTTTTATCTGTGGAGGGATTACACACTACAGTATGAAATACAAGACTCTCCTTGATTATAACGAGCAATGTCATTCGGATACCCGCCAGAACAGCCTTTCTGTTTCTATTCATCACTGTTCATTCTGTTCATCATCAGTTTCAGAGACTCATAAAGACAAGATTTGGGGTTTGAGGATTGGAGGACTATTGTATATGATGCTTTAGGTCACTAACCATTGCTCTAAAAAGAGCAGTGTTTAAAAAAAAATTTTTATAGATGACAGTTTTCTTTATTTTTTGCTAAGGTGTTTATTTACCTTTTTAAAACTATCATTCAAAAAAAAACTATCATTCCCTCATCCCAGTTTTATAATTGACATATATCAACTTTAAACTGTACAGCAGAATGGTCTGACTTACATGTAAATCCTTAAGTTTACTTAGCATCCATCATCTCATATGGGTACAATAAAAAGAGAAAAGAAATTATTTTTTTTCCTTTTAATGAGAACTGTATTGTTTAAAATACTTTATTCCACACTCATGATGAATTACCTTCAAATACCTTTGAGAAAAACTTGTTTATATCATAATAAACTCAAATCAGTAATGTCTAAATGTAATTTCAGATTATACATTCATTTTGAGGGTAGACAGTTTTCTTTAATTTTAAAATTATAGTATCAGTTCAGTTCAGTTCAGTCGCTTAGTTGTGTCTGACTCTTTGCAACTCCATGGACTGTAGCAAGCCAGGCCTCCCTGTCTATCACAAACTCCTGGAGTTTACTCAAACTCATGCCCATCGAGTCGGTGATGCCATCCAGCCATCTCATTCTCTGTCATCCCCTTCTCCTCCTGCCCCCAATCCCTCCCAGCATCAGGGTCTTTTCCAGTGAGTCAACTCTTTGCATGAGGTGGACAAAGTATTGGAGTTTCAGCTTCAGCATCAGTCCTTCCAATGAACACCCAGGACTTATCTCCTTCAGGATGGACTGGTTGGATCTCCTTGCAGTCCAAGGGACTCTCAAGAGTCTTCTCCAACACCACAATTCAAAAGCATCAACTTTTTGGCACTCAGCTTTTTTCACAGTCCAACTCTCACATCCATATATGACCACTGGAAAAACCATAGCCTTGACCAGACAGACCTTTGTTGGCAAAGTAATGTCTCTGCTTTTTAATATGCTATCTAGGTTGGTCATAACTTTCCTTCCAAGGAGTAAGCTGCAGTCACCATCTGCAGTGATTTTGGAGCCCCCAAAAATAAAGTCTGACACTGTTTCCACTGTCTCCCCATCTATTTCCCGTGAGGTGATGGGACCAGATGCCATGACCTTAGTTTTCTGAATGTTGAGCTTTAAGTCAACTTTCTCACTCTCCTCTTTGACTTTCATCAAGAGACTTTTTAGTTCCTCTTCACTTTCTGCCATAAGGGTGGTGTCATCTGCATATCTGAGGTTATTGATATTTCTCCCGGCAATCTTGATTCCAGCTTGTGCTTCTTCCAGCCCAGCGTTTCTCATGATGTACTCTGCATATGAGCTAAATAAGCAGGGTAACAATAAACAGCCTTGATGGACCCCTTTTCCTATTTGGAACCAGTCTGTTGTTCATGTCCAGTTCTAACTGTTGCTTCCTGACCTGCATACAGGTTTCTCAAGAGGCAGGTCAGGTGGTCTGGTATTCCCATCTCCTTCAGAATTTTCCAAAGTTTATTGTGATCCACACAGTTGAAGGCTTTGGCATAGTCAATAAAGCAGAAATAGATGTTTTTCTGGAACTCTCTTGCTTTTTTGATGATCCAGCGGATATTGCCAATTTGATCCCTGGTTCCTCTGCCTTTTCTAAAACCAGCTTGAACATCTGGAAGTTCTCAGTCCACGTATTGCTGAGGCCTGGCTTGCAGAATTTTGAGCATTACTAGCATGTGAGATGAGTGCAATTGTGTGGTAGTTTGAGCATTCTTTGGGATTGCCTTTCTTAGGGATTGGAATGAAAACGGACCTTTTCCAGTCCAGTGGCCACTGCTGAGTTTTCCAAATTTGCTGGCATATTGAGTGCAGCACTTTCACAGCATCATCTTTCAGGATTTGAAATAGCTCAACTGGAATTCCATAACATCCACTAGCTTTGTTCGTAGTGATGCTTTCTAAGGCCCACTTACAGCTTAGCTCTTTTCTGTATTCCTTATTTTGGAATGTTTTTTCAAATGTGCATAACAAAGTCTGTAAGACATGAAGACATTGGGATTTACTTTTACCTGAAGTATTACCATGTTTGCAGTATTTCTTAGGGCATTTTGTAGGGTGTATATTGTCTTTAATATGAACTGTATAGAAAGTAAAGCTAGATTATCAACTATCAAATAATGTCATTGCTACACTCACTAACTTTTATGGCAATATCTGTTTCTTAACATCTGCTGCAAGGTATATGTTCTCACATCCTTACATGTGAAAGATATCATATGCAGGAAATGGTAATCATTTGAAATATGGTAATGTTTGGCTACGGTAATTAGCATATTGAAATATTTTCACATACAAATAAGCAGAATGTCTTAGCATGGCACACACGAATAGAAGATATATCCTTATATTTGTAAAAGATCTAGTGAGTAGGATAGATTTTGGGATCTTCATAAGGTAGTTTACTCTGTATTATGCAATATTGCTAGCTGGTCATGGTGACAAGAAAGATATTTCAGCATTGAGTTGATAGTGGAACTTTTCAGCAAACACAGATCACTACAGGAGAAACTGACTATAGGCATTCATGAGTCCATTTTGTTCCTGATGAGTTTTGTTTTAATAATAATTTAAAGGCAGAAAAATGTGCATATTCACAATAAAAGGATGGCAATAGATTTTTAAACATCTCCTGTAATATTAAGAAACGTAAATTATTAGTGATCAAAAATGTGAAAATACAGTGATCTCATTTGACCTGTGTATATATATTAAACCCTATGCTAGAAAACTAAAGAGTGTACATTTTAGAGCAGAGACGAAACAACTAAAATATTCACCACTGTCAAATTTAGAGAGATTGTATTCCAGAGGATTATTACAATAGAGAGAGGGCTCCAACCAGAAAATCTACAAAGTCTCAACCATCAGAAAAGAACTTTTCATTTATACTGAGGACTAAGTAAGTGTAGAGGAAAAAATGCCATGTGAGGAATGAATGAATAGGTAATCTGACTCACAGTTGATCAGGGAATGTTTTATGGTCAGGTCACCTACTCTTGGGAGCCGATGGTGTGGCAACAGGGTTCTTTCTAAATTGCAGTGGTCAAGAATGGGCCAAAATTCGGGGCCCTTGGAAGAGGAGAAAAACGTGAGTAAATTTTGATTAGATCATATTAACAGGCATTGTTACCAGTGATCAAAGCGGACAAAGAATTCAGTACTCCTTGATAAGGCAAAAGGGTGGAAATTGGGAGGGTCTGTATCTGGATGGTTTCAAAGTAAACAAAGGGGCCAAGAGAAATCTACTGAAACTAATAGGGAAGTGTGTTTCTTTAGTAAGTAACATTTAAAAGGGGGAAAAGAGTCCTACCTTTGCCATTTTCCAGAGTTAGACTGAAGTCTAGTGTTGTTACTATATAATGACACCTTTGAGTTATAAGAAAAATTCAAAAGGTAGTAACAAGGTAATTTTGAAAATTTGAACATTAGAAAATTTAATAATTACAATAATCTTTCTAGGATCCTCAGCATATATGCTTCTGAATGGCATTGAAGGATCTTGAATGTTTATTGGCTGTGTCGTGTATGTACCTGTCATATCCAAGAGACATCTTTAAGTGGTACCCTTTAACGGGAGGATTTCTGTTCTCTCTGGAGGCAATGTAATATGCATTATTTGACTGGTATGCAGAATGTTCTAAAAGACAAACTGACACCACAATGGCGTTAAAGGAATCCTTAGAGCCAAAGTAGAGAGCATAGCCTGTCCGAAGAGGAGAGGAAAGAGCAGAATCCCCCAGGGGTAGGTTCGTAGGGGAGACAGCACCCTTGGGCTGCGCCCCTCCAGGGACACCCCGTTTCAGCCACCCCGACGTTAGAGACCAGCCCATCGGCCCTCCTGCCCTCAGCCCACCCACCGCCGCCCATGCGCAGGCGCACTCAAATGCAGACCCGGAAGCTGTTCTCGGGGCCGACCGGCGCCTTCTGGCGAGTTAGCCTCGGTTTTTTTGGTCCGAAACTGACCCGGGTATGCAATCTTCAGGCCCTCTTTCCCCACACTCAGACTTCGAGGGGCTGCTGGTACGTTAAAATCGCCGAACGCGGTCCTCGCTCTCTCTTTGAGTCCTCTCGCGGCGTCGCCCGAAAACTAGGTTCGGGTCACAGGAGTCTGGGCCCGGTTCCGGCTTAAGTAACATTGAGGCAGGTACCGGTACCGGGTTTCTGTCTTCGGTCCGTGTAGACACGGACCTCTTGCCGCGATGTGTTCCTGCTGTGACTCCCCTACCCACCCCAGCCCCTCAGAACTGTTGGACATCACCCGCTTTATACGATGGCTGGTCGAGCCTTGACCGTTGATGTATCTTCACACTTGTTTTAATCTCAGAAGCCACTGGGTGTGTTTTAAATGTCCAAATTATTTTCACTCTAAATTTCATTGTCCAGATGATGAGGTTTATATGCTCTCTATTCGTATTCTGTATTGGAACTATTCTCTGATGTTTGGTAGATAACTTTACATGTGGTAAGGATGTTGATCATGTTTTGACAGTCAGAACCTAGTTTAACCAGTTTATTATTCAGTAGTTTCTTTCTTCCTTTACGTGATCTACTCAATTAGTGAGCTATAAATTAAAATGTCCAAATAAGTTGACTGTCCCCTCAAGTCCTCTCTGCACAGTTGTTAAAGGATAGACTGGATTTGTTACTGGCCTGGGTTCTTGGACTCTTTAATCAGTAGAAATTGGTAACAGGCCAGGTGAGGAATTCAGGCAGAGCTTTATTGGAACTCCTTGGACTGCAAGGAGATCCAACCAGTCAATCCTAAAGGAAATCAGTCCTGAATATTCACTGGAAGGATTGATGCTGAGGCCGAAACTCCAATACTTTGGCCACCTAATGCAAAGAACTGACTCACTGGAAAAGACCCTGGTGCTGAGAAAGATTGAAGGCAGGAGAAGGGGATGACAGGGGATGACAGAGGATAAGATGGTTGGATGGCATCACTAACTTGATGGACATGAGTTTGTGTAAACTCCTGGAGTTGGTGATGGACAGGGAAGCCTGGCGTGCTGCAGTCCATGGGGTCGCGGGGTCGCAGAGTCGGACAAGACTGAGCAACTGAACTGAACTGCAGCACAGGTGAGAACAAGAAACAAGTGCCTTACTTGCTCCCTGATGTTGGGTGAGCTGGTCTCTTAAACTGGGTGAAGGTGGCAGCAGAGTAGGAGCAGATTGGGTGGGTCCCCCTAGCTGGTCTGCCCAACCCCTTGGTGGTGCTGTGGGCGGGGCATCATGTTCAGTCCCCTGCTTTTGCTCTCCTCACCTCAGAAGTGGCCGTTGCAGTTGGGTCTTGGTCTTTTTGTATGTTATTCATAATTTGTCCCAGCTATGCACATAAGCAGTTATTTTTAATAGCTTATGGTTTCTTGGTATTTTTAAAGAACTTTTAAATATATTTTACTTAGTTATTTTTGGCTGCGCCCTGGGTCTTCTTTACTCCTTGGCTTTTCTCTAGTTGCAGTGGGTAGCAGGAACTACTCGCTAGTTGCAGTGCACAAGTGGAGAAAGAATCTCAGTAAAATAATTAAAAAATACAGAGTTGCACAAACATAGCTGCTGATGTGGAAAACACTGTAAGGGGTCAACTTAGAAATAAGCTCAGTCATTTCTTGTTTCAGGTGCCCTCTTCTCTGACCTCTACTCCATGCCAGAAAAAGAGAAGGAAGGGGTGACCTGCAACTAAGTGAATCAAGTCACTGCCCCCGTGCCAACCACCCCCCCCCCACTGAATAAAAACTGCAAATGGAAGTTATCTTCTCAAATAATTACAAGATGCACAGGACATATAGACAGGTGTTTTGCATTTCTCACCCTCATCTGTATGATTTAAACAAATTTTAAATGTACTAGATTCTAAAGATACAACTCCTACATCACAACTTAATCATCCATATCCAAACAGCTGGATCCAGTTACCCACTCCCTCTACCTGTACTACCAGGTTATTCCATTTCATTCACCTTATCTGTCTCCCTGTTCTATCCCTGTGTCTCTTTTTGCTCCCATCTACCCTCCTGCTGTTTCTCCCCTCCTATTTCTTCCCTCACACCTGTCTTGACCCACTCTTCAACTTGTTCCCTTCCCTTCTTGCACACTTTCTCCCCAACCCGACTGCCCTCAATCTCCATTATTTCTGGTCCTTTCTTCCCCTAACTCTCCTACACCTGACACAGGAGGGAAAGGAACAGGGCACAAAAAAATGACTCAGTCATTAAGCCTATGACAAAAACCAGTTATAACTAGTTAGACCCATGATGGCGGAAGATTTGACTGCCAACAAACCTTGAACCTCATTCTGTGCTCGTCGTGACATATTAGCTAAATGACATGCTCATAGGTGCTATGACAGTTCTGAGGCCAACAGTCAAAGGCCAGAAAGTGTGTGTGTGTGGAAGGGGGGGGGGGTGGCCCCATTCCCAGAAATCTCCCATCTCTCCCTGAAATAGCTTAAATAATTACTCCACTCTCTAGACTGTGAAATTTCTCAGCCCCTAAAAACTAACCACCTTTTATTTCAGGGTAGCTTCCACCTTCTGAGACTGACTGCATTCTGCCTATGGAACTTGCATTATCAGGGGCCTCTCACCTTCTGAGATGGCCTACTTTCTATCTATGGAACGTGTGCTCGCATGAGCTTCACTTTAGTACTGTCAGACTCTCTTGCGACCCCATGGACTTGTAGGCTGCCAGGCTCTTTTGTCCATGGGACTATCCCAACAAGAATACTGGAGTGGGTTGCCATGCCCTCCTCCAGGGGATCTTTCCAACCCAGGGATTGAACCCACATCTCCTAAGGATTCTGCATTAGCAGGCGATTCTTTACCACTGGTGCCTCCTGGGAGGCCCTGTGGAATGTGTATCTCTCTCAATAAATCTACTACTTAACTATCACTTTGCCTCTTGCTGAATTCCTTCCACACTGTGAAGTAAAGAACCTGAGCATCATTAAGTCCTGAGACCAGGTGTGCAATATTAATTAATTAATTAATATTGGATTCCATTCTGAATTGGAGGAGTGTGGTTTCACTTCTTTCTCCCTAACACTCCCTCCTCACTCTCTGGCATGTATCTGGGTGATACGTCTTTCCTGCTCTTCCTCAGCTCTTTTTGCCACTAGTCCTCTTTCTCTCCCAGCACCAGGAGACTCTGAAGGCCACGGTTCCAACTCTTTTATCTTCTCTCCCGACTCCCTGTGTGAAGTTCCTCATCACTGCTGCTCTCTAACCTCTGGAGAGCGGACTCTTTATTTCTCTATTTCATTACCCTGCTACATTCAATCAGGACTTAATTGCTTTCATTTTGTCTTCTCTTTCTTTACAAGTCTCTGAGCCATTTTCTATATTCTCATCAGTTCTCCCTCATGCTTTTCTCTTTCTTAGTCACTCTGTATCTGCTCTTGATTCCCTCTGCCCCCATATTTTCAGGGGTGGTGACTGAATAAGATGCCCTGAAACCCAAAGGGACCATTTTCCAACGGAGTTGAATTTGACACGGAACACTGGTGTCACATGGGCAGGTCCTGATAGCACCCTGCCATAGGGTGAGTAGGGTGACAGGATGGTCTGACAGGAAGGGGAGCCCTGTGGAGCCGAAGGACCGGCAAGAACAGAGGGGCTGGGAGGGAAGGGGTCTCAGAACTGGGGCGGGCTCTCCAGGATCCCAGTGAAGAAGGAACTCATAGGGCCTGGACCCCATCTTAAGCCTGTTCATGCTGATTGTGTGCGGCTGCCTCTCCAATGGACTCTGAACTCTGTGTTTAGTGCCTATGGAAACGACAACAGAAGGATAAGACCCCCTCTGGACAGGGGAACCTTGAAGATCGTATCCAGGTTACTCATCGCTTAAGAGAAAACATACTCTAATCACCCCTGCCTCTGGACAATGTCAGAATGTAACCACAGGCTTATCGGTTATTAGCTGGTTGGAACCGCGGGCTTATTATTAACTGTTTGAACACATAACACATGAATGATGGGGTGATTGTGATTGTATTTTACCCTTCTTTTGTAAGTCTCAAGGAATTTGAGGTGGTTGGTTCAGACACGTACACATTTTCACAAATGCTGGTCGGGGTCCTTGGCTAACAGAAGACTCTGCCTTGGGCCCGCCGGTGTAAAAAAAATTGCACTCCACTATCTGCATTGTCCTTCTGAGTGAGTTTGTTTCCCAGAACGCGTGGCTGTAACACCAGGACCCCGGAGAGGACACTACCTCTCCAGGAGTGGGGCGCCCCGGCTCTGCCTCCAGGGTCTGACAGGGCGAGATGGGTGATGCCGTCATCGAATTCACTTTGTTCTGTTAGCAGAGGACGTTGGAGGCAGAGGTGGTAAAGGATTTAAAGCAGGAAAATGTCTCAAAAGGCGGTGTTTACGTGAGTCGAGGGCAAAAAAGTCAAGGGCTTAGGGACCCGCCTCAGGGTGATTTTAACCCAAAGGAAAACATAGTCGACTTGAAAGGGCGCCGTCTGGATTTACTGGGGGCAGAAGGCCGGATGCTAGGATTTAAGGTCCTGAACATGAAGTCAGGGGTACCGCGCAGCACCGATTTACACAAGAAACGAGAGACTTGGTACAGCTTACCGAACTTCTCACTCTCCGGTTCCGCTAGCAGCTGCGTGGGCGGAGCCTGAGTGGAGCGCTACGGGCGAGGGGCGGGGAGAGGAGGGAGCCCCGTTTTTGCGCGAGGAGTGCCGAGCGGCTGGGGACGGGAGGTGCCTCCCCGTACCTTGAAATTGCTAATTTTAACCGTCTCTCTGGAAAGAGGACTGTGAGGCGCAGGTCCAAGCTAGAAAAGTGTTAACCCTTGATGCCCAGTGTGACCTGTGCACTGCACCATCAGCTTCCCGTCTGGAAGAAACTGCGCGTGCGAATAAGGACTGTGGGTGGGGCCTGAGCAGACCAAGATCAGCAAGCGGGCGGGGCGTGAGGAACTCGGGCTTGCGCTACGACTGAGAGGGAGGGAGGAGAGCCGGGTAGAGCTGTGGTGTGCGCGTCCCTTAAGATTCCCTCCCAAGTTTACCTTTTCCAGGTTTAGACATGCTGGAGGATCTTTGTATCTTATGATACGATGGCTTCCTGCTTAGCTTAAGTTACTGTCTCTAACAAGTTTTAAATTAAACGCTTACAGTTGTGTGGGCCACTTATTTTGGAAATTTCTTTTTAACAAGTTGAAAACAGTTTAAGTCAAAAGCTATTTTTGCCAGCGGCTGACCAACAGTTGGTCGTGAACTGAGAAAACTGGGATCTCAGTGAGGAGTAGCTGTGGGGCGGTAGTTGGATCCAGAAACACTGCCTGCAATCAGAATTAATTTAAGCAATTTAACTAAAAAAGAACTGGAGTTATCTGTGTAGGGATTACAAATTAGAATATGAAATACAAAACTCTCAATGGGTAGAATGGACGATATATTAAACGGTACAGAACAGCATTTTGTTTCATAATTTTTCTCCATGGAAGCGTCTAGGTAGCCAGGAGGCTTCTCCTTTTTTCTCCTGATTTTAGGCTCTTTATTTCCGAAGTGGGTCTACTCAGCTTCAAGCAGCTACCCCCGGATGAGCTCCCTGTGGTCCCAGTTGAACTTACACTCGCCCTTTGCACGTGGTGGGGGTGAGCAGCACTGTCCCGGTGGAGGACCCTGCCTCTGCCCTCCTCTGCTGTTCCTGGCCAGATCCCTTTCCACTCTTCCAGGGCAAAGGACCCCTGCACACATCAATCCCCTAAAGTGAAGGCCATACCAGAGGGTGCACTAGTTTCATTTTGTGTTTTCATTAATTTGCTGACCATGTATGACGTATGTAAACTACAGTCCAGGCTTGTCTGCATCAAGAATAAAATGGAAAGCCAATGGAATACACTATACCACCTCATCCAGGTTATTTTTAAATAATGGAGACACACACCATCCTCTATTACTTACAGTCATGCAAGTCAAATGCCCCAAAGCGAAGGCCTGGTGCGTGGACGTGGATTCTCCCCCACACCCATTGCTCTCCCGACTCCCCCATCACACCAGCTCTACCTTGTCCCCGTGAGGCTCATCGCAGCTGGAGAAAAACACACCCCCGAACTGACTGGTCTCGCTTCAGATTCCTGGCTGCTCCCTCACATTCCCTGTGTGTCTGCTCCACACCTTTCCTATGGAGCTCCTCAGAAGTCCACCTCTGCCTCTCCCCATCTTTTTTTTTTCAAAGACCCTGTTTCTTCTCCATTGAGCTCCTGGAGCAAAGGAAGAGATCTCTTCTAACTGCCCCAACCACCTGCCTCAGGGCCTGTGTTCTCTCCTCAGTATTGACTGTGAATAGCCTGAACCCACCTCTGGCTGTTGGTGATCCTGAAATTGTGCGTTTATGCCAACTACACTCTGTGTCAGGATGGCATGGGACTCTTCCTCCTCTGCTACACACACACACAACCCCGCTCTAAACCTTTTTATGCACTCTACCATCTTTAAAGAGCTTCCCTGGTGGCTCAGATGGTACACGTGTACACACACACACACACACACACACACACACACACACACACCCTCTAATGGTACACACGCGCACACACACACACCCCCTCTAATGGTACACGTACATACCACACACACACACACACACACCCTCTAAACCTTTTTATGCACTCTACCATCTTTAAAGGGCTTCCCTGGTGGCTCAGATGGTACACGTGTACACACACACACACACACACACACCCTCTAATGGTACACGCGCGCACACACACACACACCCTCTAATGGTACACGTACGTACCACACACACACACACACACACACACCCTCTAAACCTTTTTATGCACTCTACCATCTTTAAAGGGCTTCCCTGGTGGCTCAGATGGTACACGTACACACACACACACCCTCTAATGGTACACGTACACACACACACACCCTCTAATGGTACACGTACACACACACACACCCTCTAATGGTACACGTACACACACACACACACACCCTCTAAACCTTTTTATGCACTCTACCATCTTTAAAGGGCTTCCCTGGTGGCTCAGATGGTACACGTACACACACACACACACACACCCTCTAAACCTTTTTATGCACTCTACCATCTTTAAAGGGCTTCCCTGGTGGCTCAGATGGTAAAGAATCGGCCTGCAATGCGGGAGACCTGGATTCTAATCCCTAGGTTGGGAAGATCCCCTAAAGGAGGGTATGGCAAACCACTCCAGTATTCTTGCCTGAGGAATCCAAAAGAGCCTGGCGGTCTACAGTCCATGGGCTTGCAAATAGTTGGACACAACTAAGCGACTGAGCAGAACCACAAAGGTATACATTTTTGACAAAGCTGATCACAGGCATCATATTTATACGGTTTCTCTCTAGTAAGAATTTTGTTAACATTCCAGAAGGCTTAAACTTTGGCTAACCTTTGCCAAAATTTTATTTGTGTGGTTTCTCTCAAAGATGTACATTCTGCCACCAAATAAATGTTAGGCACAGTTACAGGCTTTGCCACATACGTATGTTTTAAATGATTTCTCTCCTTGAGGGAGTCTCTGATTTTAAGGTCTGACTACCTACATACATTTTATCTCAATCATTATATTTGTAAGATTTCTACTATTAATTTTTCAATGATGCTCAAAGCTTCACCTTTTAATAAAAGCACTGCCACATAGATTAGGTTTATAATGTTTCTTTACAGTATGTATTTTTTGATGCCTACCCAGGTTTGTAAACTGAGTAAAAGCTCTGCCACACTCATGACATTTGTAAGGTTTCTCACCAGTATGAATGATCTTATGTCGATTGAGATGTGAACCATCTGTAAAGGCTTTGCCACACTCATTACATTGATAAGACTTCTCTCCAATATGAGTTCTCTCATGACGCCAAAGTTGTGAATTTTGGGTAAAAGCCTTATCACATTTATGACATTTATAAGGTCTTTCTCCTGTATGAATTCTTTGATGTGCCACAAGACTTGAACGCTGGATAAAAGCCTTGCCACATAAACTGCATTTGAGTTCTCCCGTGAGAGTTTTCTCATGACTGCAAAGTTGTGAATGTTGGACCAATGCCCTACAGCACACATCATAGTTGTAAGGTTTCTCTCCAGTATGAGTTCTCTCAAGATCCCAAAGCTGCGAACGTTGGGTCAAAGGCTTAGCACACACATTGCACTTACTCGGTTTCTTTCCAGTGTGCCTTCTCTGATGCCTACTAAGACTTGAAACTTGGGTAAAAGCTTTGCCACACTCATCACATTTGTAAGGTTTCTCTCCAGTGTGGATGGTTTTATGTTGAGTAAGATTTGAATGTTTCGTAAAGGCTTTGCCACACTCAGTACATATATAAGGTTTCTCCCCAGTATGGATTCTCATATGTTGAGTAAGGATTGACCGCACGGGAAAGGCTTTGCCGCATTCATTACATTTGTAAGGTTTCTCACCAGTATGGATTTTCTCATGAATCCAAAGGAGTGAACGTTGAATAAATGACTTACCACATTCTTTACACTTATAAGGTTTCTCCCCAGTGTGCAGCCTCTGATGACTTGCAAGGATTGAATTTCGACTGAAGACCTTGCCACAGACATCACATTTGTATGGTTTCTCTCCTGTATGGATTATCTGATGGTTCCTTAGGGCTGAGTGCACACTAAATGCTTTGCCACACTCATTACATCTGTAAGGTTTCTCTCCAGTATGGACTACCTTATGTTGAGTAAGATTTGAATGCTTCCTAAAGGCCTTCCCACACTCATTACATCTGTAAGGTTTCTCTCCTGTATGGATTCTCTTATGCTGAGTAAGGCTAGAGCGCTTCCTAAAGGCTTTGCCACATTCATTACATTTGTAAGATTTCTCTCCAAAGTGCACTGTCTGATGACTTACAAGGACTGATTTTCGACTGAAGACCTTGCCACAGACATCACAGTCATAGGCTTGCTTTCTCGTATGGATCATCTGATGTCTAGTAAGGTTTGAGCACTGATTAAAGGTTTTACCACACTCTTTACATTTGTAAGGTTTCTCTCCTGTATGAATTCTCTGATGACATGCAAGGTGTGAATTTCGACTAAATACCTTACCACATACATCACAATTATAAGGTTTCTCTCCCGTATGGATTAACTGATGTCTGCTGAGGTTTGAGCTGTAAGGAAAGGTTTTGTCACACTCATTACATTTATAAGGTTTTTCCTTGTCTGCTTTCTGGTCTTGTGTCAGTATTGGAGGATTAATAAAATCATTCCCATATGGATTAGAAATGTTGGTTTGGACAATAGGAGAAATTGTCTGAAATGGTAAAAATGAGGTGCTACTGTTGCTACTCTTGTCAGCTTGATTAAATTCATTAATTTTCTCTTCACTTTTAAATATACACCATTCATCCTGAAAGCTTAATGCAAGCTTATTTTCAATAGGTTTGTTTCCTGGATCCCTTCTACCATGTTGATTTTTTCCATCAGTGAAATTTTCATTATTGTTTACAGGCATTCCTTTGTCATTTCCTTCATTATCTGTCCACTGACACTTAAAGACGTGCATGTTTTCCTGGATTTCCGTGAAGTAAAAGTCTCTGATTTCATGACTTTCATATCTTCCCAACATCACTCTCTGGAATACTCCTGTATCACTGTTTGCTTTTGGTTTTAATTTCTTGATCACATGTATATGAGAGACAGCTACAAGATATAAAGAACCATAGGCATCCTATTAATTACAGATGATAAATAAATGTTTCATGTTGAAAATGTGATATTACACCAAAGGCATTACCAATCCTCGACAGTTATAAAACTTCTCAACCGTGACCTTCAAGTTTTCAGACACAACTAAAGAAACAGGATCTTTTATTAAAGAATAATCACATGTAATTCAAGTTAATTTTACGGTAGCCTAGTCACTCAATGACAAAATCACTCACATTGTGCAAACTTACGTTAGCTCTCAAAGAAAGGGAATTTTCCACTATGACCTCAAAGATCACATACCTTTTGGCAGTAAACATATTGCTGTCTCAAAACTGAGGAGAAAAAACTATTATACATATTTTATGCATAATTACTATACATAAATAAGTACTAAAGAACAGTCAATGTATTGTAATGCTAAATAATCCAAAACAAGCTTATCTAATAAATAATCTAAATAACTTGCAGTTTAGAATTGCAAAACCACTACAGAACTGAGAAAATAAATCAAAACAATTTATAAGAAAACAAAATATTTATCTTAATACACATTATATATCCACATGTACCCATTGAGAAAAAGCATTTTACAACATTAAGAGGTGGTGTATGTCAGATATATTGCATAATACATGCTGAAAGATCATCTATAAATCACAATATAAATTGAAAATTATTCCAGTAAACCATAATAAAGTCAGCATAGATAATAAGTCACCATATTATAGAAAATTTTTACTCTGTGGAACTCTAGACATTTCCCCCTAAGAATAAAGAAAGAACTTATATTCTAGAAGGAGCACACAATATGAGAGCTGGGAGTTATGTAGAAATCACTAACTTATGAACTATCATGTCAGGAAAATACATAATATTATAAAAAAGAACTGGAAAAAGAAGTCAGAAGTCACAATTATGATTTCATGACTGCAGATATATCACAGTCAACTAATAGAGAAATTCCCTGTCTATGCACTGCCCTTTAGTTATCCTGTTCACTGGCACCAAATCATATGTGATACATTGCATGTGCTTTGAGAATTTTTTTTTTTTTTGAGAATTTATTAAGGAAGGTCAGAGACAACACTGTTGAGAACATGCTGGAAAATAAAAACATAAACAGGAGCTTCCCTGGTGGTCCAGTGGTTAAGAATCCACCCGCAATACAAGGGACACCAGTCTGACCCCAGGGAAGATCCCACCTGCCGTGGAGCAGCTAAGCCCGTGCACCACAGATAACTGAGCCCTAGCTCTAGAGCCCGGAAGCTGCAGTTCTGAAGCCCGGGCGCCCTCCGACCACTGTGTTAAAACTACGGACAGCAGACTCACAGGACCTCTGTACCTGACACCAGTGTACACAGCAGGGGAGAGAAAGCGGTCTGAACCTGCACCTACAGATCAGAAAACAGGAGTTCCTGAGCACAACTGGCTATTCAGGCAGTGCCCATTATAAAATACTGCAATGACTACCAGGAGCTGAGAAAGAAAGAATTCATGGGAGAGAATAAGAGCTCTAACAGTGAGATGTGGCTATCCCTCCTGGAACTGGTTTTTGAGTCATCAGCCCTGTACATACTGATTTAGGTTCTGTCGGGAGAAAGCTGTTCAGTGGATGAACATGAGTGCATGTGTGCTCAGTTGTATCCAACTCTTTGCAACCCCCCCAGACTGTAGCCCGCCAGTCTCCTCTGTCCATGGGATTTCCCAGAAAAAATAAATAGTGGAGTGGGTTACCATTTTCCTTCTCCAGGGGATCTTCCCAACCCAGGGATTGAACCTGCATCTCTCCTGCATTGGCAGGCAGACTTTTTCTTTATCACTGTGCCACCTGGGCTTCCGTAGAATTGTACAAGGGTAACTAGAATACTGACCTTGGAAGAAAAGAACTGGCAGGGTCTGAGACTGAACTCAAAGCCTCCCAATACCCAGAGCTGCCCTCAGGAGGAAATGCAAAGCAAAACCACAGTGACATACCACTTCACATCTAGCAGAATGGCTATCATGAAAAAGTCAAAGAGATAGAAAGTGGAGATGAAGATATGGAGAAAAGGCAACCCAGTGCAATGTTGGTGGGAATGTAAATTGGTGCAGCCACCATGGAAAAAGAGTATGTAGAATCCCTCAAAATATTAAAAAAAAAAAAAAAAGGACTACCATAAGATATAGCAATCTCACTTCTGGGTATACACTGAAAGGAAATGAAAGCACTCTCTCAGAGAGATATTTGCACTGCTCTGTTGTTGCAGTATTATTTACAATAGCCAAGACATGAAAAAAAGCTAAGTGTCCAACAGTGTGTAAAGAAATTTTAAAATGTTACACATGCAATGGAATATTATTCAGCAAAAAAAAAAAGTAAATCCTGCTATCTGTACCAACACAGAGAGACCTTCAGGGCATTATGCTAAGTGAAATAAGTCAGGAGAGAAATAAAAATACATTATGACCTTACTTATATCACATATATATGGAATCTTAAAAACAAAAGCCAAATGATTAGAAAAAGGGAGTAGAAGAGTGATTGCAGGGGCAGGGGATCGGCAGTTTCAGTTATAAGGTGAATATGTTCAGGAGATCTAATATACACCATGGTGACTACTATTAACAATACTGTCTTATATACTCAAACTAGACAGACATTAAATGATGTTCTCACCACACACCCACAGCCACGCCCACATACACAAATTGTAATTATGTGAATTGATGGATGTGTTAAGTGTGTTCTGGTAATTATTGTCATATATGTATATCACATCATCACTCTGTACACTTTACATTTATACCATGTTATGTGGATTGAAGTGCAGTGAAAGTGACTCAGTTGTGTCCGACTCTTTGCGACACCATGGACTATACTGTCCGTGGAATTCTCCAGGCCAGAATACTGGAGTGGGTAGCCTTTCCCTTCTCCAGGGGATCTTCCCAATCCAGGGATCAAACCCAGGTCTCCCGCATTACAGGTAGCTTGTTTACCAGCTAAGCCACAAGTGAAGCCCAAGAATACTGGAGCGGATAGCCTATCCCTTCTCCAGCAGATGTTTCCAATCCAGGAATTGAACCGGGGTCTCCTGCATTGCAGGTGGATTCTTTACCAGCTGAACCATCAGAACTCATGCTATGGTTTGTGTCTCATGTCAATAAATCTGGGAAAAAGGAAAATACAAAGGAATGCACAAAAGAGATCCTGGTTGACCATGTGAATAACAAATTTAAAAAAAAACAAGAAAGAGAGAGGGAAAGGAAGAAAAGATTGGGGAAAAAAGATCTTAGAAGGACAAAACAGAGAAGGAAGAAAAAGATTAAAGGAATTAGAGAATAAAATAACTACAAGTACAAAACTCAAAGTTGGTTCTTTGAGAAGAAAGACAAAATTTACACTCAGCAAGATTAAGAAAAAAATCAGAAGACTCAAATAGCTAAAGTTGGAAATGAAAGAGGGAATATTACAGCTGATCACAACTGATTCTACAGAAATCAAAAGGATTATAAGAGGATACTATGAGCAATTCTGGGCTTCCAAGGTGGCACTAGTGGTAAAAGAATCCATCTGCCAATGCATCTGATGGAATCAAGAAAGGGAGACCAACAGAAAAAGACTAACCCATTCTCCTCAAAGTCAAGGAAGCAAAGAATTTTCAGGAGCCAGATGATGGAGTGTAGATGGTGATAAACACTGCCTTGGTCTGTGTGGGAGCTGTTGTAGCACAACAGGAGTGTGAAAAGATAAACTTTACATATTGCAGGACAGAACAATAAGTCAGGGAGGAGAAAATTTTTCTCTGAACATTCACAAGAAATAAACTTCTGTTTTCCCATAGACATCTCCCACTTTGGGAGAGTTTCCCAAACACTATTAATGGTGCCGTTTCCTCACTGCCCTTCTGACCTGTGTTGGCACCTTTGATACATTCCCATTTATTTACTTTTTTTTTTTTTCTATTTTCACTTCATTCTCTAGAATCTAGAGTTCTTTCCCTTGCTCTAAGATAGAGATAACTTTCAGAAACAGAAATTCGTACTTATAAAAAGAAAAGAACAGCCTTCCCTAGGTGGTGCAGTGGATAAGAATCTGCCTGCCGATGTAGGGGACACAGGTTCAATCTCAGGTTCAGGAAGATCCTACATTCCTTGGAACAACTGCGCCCTTGCACCACAACTATCACACCTGAGATCTAGAGCCCATGAGCCACCACTACTGAAGCCCACTTGCCCTAGAGCCTGTGCTTTGCAGTAAGAGAAGCCATTTCTTTCTGGGGATGTGCTGGTCCCCAGTCTGCCCAGGCCCGCAAGGATGGCTCTGGGGGCTTGGGAAAGCCAAACTGCCAAGACTCAAAGTGGCCTCCTTCCCATCTGGGAGGCTGGGTGTCCTCACGCCTCTGGCTTCTCTGTCCCAGTAGGCAGTGCCTAGAGCCCATGGTCCCCGAGAGAGAGCTCTCGGCAGACAAAGCCAGTGGCCGAGCCTTACCTCTCCCTCCTGGCCTGCCGGCCTGGAGTCCTGTGCCTGGCCTGTCAGTATTTATTGCCTCCATATGTGCCATCCTCTGGGCCCACTGGCCTGCTGCCTCTGCCCAGGCTCGGTGCCACCATACCCAGGGGGCCCTCCCTGGACCACCCAGGACAACCGTGGGACCAAGCTTGCACCACTGGAGCTGCCCCCTCTGCCCGCACCCCACCCGACCCCACCCTTTGTCAGTGAGGCCCGGGCCTAGAATGCACAGGGTCCTGTCCTTGCTTCCCCTTTTCTGACTGGGAAGTAAACTTCCCCTTAAGGGGGGAGAAAAAGAGAGAGAGAGAAGCCATTTCAGTGAGAAACCTGCACAGCACAACGAAGAGTAGCCACTGCTCGCGACAACTAGAGAAAGCCCGAGCAAAGCAGTGAAGACCCAGTGCAGCCAAAAATAAAGAAATAATTCAGAAGAAAAGAAGAGAACTCCCAGCTCCTCGCTCAGCTGAGGAGTGAGGACCTTAGTGGGGCTCTGGGAAAATACTGCACACGTTCATCTACTGCCTCCTTCTGAATGCAGAGGGAACAGTGTAATATGCAGGTCTGGAGCTCTCTTCCTAGAACTACTGAATCAAAAGCAGAGGGGGAGAAAACAGGGAATTCAGTATTTCACAAGTTTGCCATTGGACTTTGTAAATATTTAAGCTCTGGAACAACTCCTAGTGTATCATGAAATGTGCAGATTTCTGAAGAAACGGTTAAACTCCTGATGCCAATCATGAAGCTTTGCATGTCTGAGTCAACAAGGCTTTGAGCTCAGTCAAGTGAAACAGGGGCTCCCAAGAGACACAGAGGGAAAATGCAGAGATACCCCAGGGCAGATCCCAACTTCTAGAGGAAAGTGATCCTCACCCACAGAGAGCAGGTTCCTGTAGGTCTCCAGCATCACATCCCTGTACAGGGCCCTCTGAGCAGGGTCTAGGCATTCCCATTCCTCCTGAGAGAATTCGATGGCCACATCCTTGAAGGTCAAATGTCCCTGAAATGAAAAATATATCTCACTGAGGGACTACGAGGAGAGTTCTTATCTTCACACAAAATGAGAAAAGAGAGGATCAATTGGGTTGGAGAATGGGTTTTGACAGATTCCAGTACAGGCATTTTGAGCAAGTTAATGCCTTGAATTTTAATTTCTTTAAAGAGAATATGTAAGAGAATTCTCTTCTGTATTATGATATCATATGATATCATTATGATATGATCCAAATCAGTGTGGATGACTGACTTCTGTGGATGATACATGAAATATACAAGCAAAAATGAAACACAGGTTGGCTACACAGGAGAGTCAGATATTCTGTTGTACACACTGAGTGGGATTCAATATGCAGATGAGCTAGTGAGTGGTGTCCTGAGACGAAAAAGTCCACAGTAGCTTTACAAAAAGATTGGGACCTTAACATTGAGATGAGGATAACAAGAGAAATGACGAAAAATGTTTGAATACTTCCTATGTGCTAAGCATTACTCTTAATACTTTACGTGTATTGACATTTACTACATGTATTAACATAGAGGGTTCCCTGAGAAAGTTGAAACGAGTACAAGGTGAACATGTGCAAATGCATAATGTGTGTACACATCCACACATAATGTTTCCAATTTTACTATTTAAATTATTAATGTGACAGTGTAAAAAAATTAAGATATAATCTCAATTGCTAAAAAGTAAAAAACTTACTATAAAATGATGATGTCTTTTTTGTTTTTGATGATGTCTTTTATAAAAGTCATGAACTTGCACATCCATGCATGTACACACACATGTAAATATCCAATTCACTAAAATGAGAGTAGCTATTTCAACATATTTTGGGTAAGTTTTTAACTTATCATTTTTACTTAATGTAGTTCAGCACCTCTGGGACAAGGAAAATGTTCTAATCTTACATAATTTAGTTTGTCAACATTATTCTACAGTAGGTTAGCAAAGAACCAGTACAAGCATGAACAAATATATAATACTTCAATCTCTGTAAAATACATATAACTCAAAACACATATAATTTTATTCATTTAAATCCAGGTAAGTGACTATTAACAAAAGCCAGAGTTTGTTTATTCCACTAATAAAATATTGATTCAAAATTGGAAAGGATATTAGTGGTATACAGGGGCTTCGCTCATAGCTCAGTTGGTAACGAATCTGCCTACAATGCAGGAGACCCGGGTTTGATCCCTGGGTTGGGAAGATCCCCTGGAGAAGGAAATGGCTACCCACTCCAGTAGTTTTGCCTAGAGAATCCCATAGACAGAGGAGCCTGGCAGGCTAGTCAATGGGATCGCAAGAGTCCAAGAGTCAGACACGACTTAGCGACTAAACCACCATTAGTGGTATACATTAAAACAGTAGGGTTGAAAAGTTCTTGAATTAAAAATTGAAAAAAAAAAAAGCCTTTTATTGAGCAAGAACATACTTAACCATCAGAGAAGACTGGTAATTCTGAAGCAGGGCATTTTGGAAGGACTGACAAAAAAATCAACTGAGAATATGACTTCACCTGAGAAAGAGCCATTCTTGAGCTCTTTTCTTTCCTCTTCTGCCTCCTCTGGATTTCTTCCTCAGAGGTGAGTCTTTCAAGGTTAATCCTGAAAGTTTAAAACCGGCTGTTTAAGGCTTAAAATCAACATCCCCTTTCCTGCGCCACAACCACACACACAGGGAAGACCTCACCACACCGGACAGTCCTCCGCTGCCCACTGTCACAAGAGGTGCGTGTAGGCACCCATCTTCCTGCACACAGCGCTCCCGCAGGCTCAGCCCAGAACCTGTTCTATCATCATCACAGGAATACATTTCCCTCTGCCAAATCCACTGCCTTCATTCTTCCACAGGTGAGATCATGTTACTCAATTCAACCCGTGCATGCACAACTCAGCTTCAGCATCTGTGTGTCCCCGTGATCCCACAACTATGCCTGGGACACACACACACAATTCACTGGGCTCATCCAGAGGCCCACACTTGCTCCCACAACTCTCCTGCAGACATTGACAGGCTCCCCTCCATTTTCTCCATTTCTCCTTCTCTCCTCCATGCAGGCATGAACAAACAGAGCTGAAAGGCATAGAGATTTCTGGGCACCGGCACTGTAAAAGGAACGCACAGAAGCTGCAAATCCAAGGACTCTGGGTGTCCAGGAATGGAGACCAAGAAGCTGACCCTTCTGGGAAAAGATGAAACGGTTAGCTTGGAAATAAGCTCTGCGAGAATGTGCTCATCATGAATAGAGAGGTTCTGTTGGGAGGTTTGAGGTCAAACAGCCCATTCTGCATCACAGGCAGAGAACAGAGGAGAAAGACCTGAGGGGACATCCCTCACTATTTTAACAGATCGCATAAAAGGGAATACAATGGAATATTAGACTGACTAAATTAGGTTTCAACTGCTAAAAAAAATCACTGACATCCTTACCAAGTACTCATTGAAACAGGCCCCCACCCCTCCTCTACGAGGCCATCTGTCCTCACTCATTCTTATTGCCTCCTAGTTTTCCCACTTCTGTGTGAACCGCTCTGTCTCGGCGTCTCCTGATCCCCCTCGCCCACATATTTACAGGGATGTCAACCGAATAAGATGCCCGCCAGCGGAAGACAGCATTTTCCAGCGAGAAAGCTGGGTGTCACGCGGCAGACAGCATTTTCCAGCGAGAAAGCTGGGTGTCACGCGGCTGACCCATGTCACCTCCCCCGACACGCGGACGGGGAAACGTCACTATGAAGTCCTGCCTGCGCGGCAGAAGGACCGACCAGACGCGAGGACAGAGGGGCTGGGAGGGAGAGGGTCTCAGGAGTCGGGAGGGCTCCCCAGAATCCCAGGACCGGGGAGAGGACGCGCGCGGCCTCTCCAGGAGCGGGGGCCAGCGCGGCCTCCAGGGCGAGGTTGGGGGGACGAGGAAGGGAAGGAGGAGCGGAGAGCGAATCCACGTCGGGGAAGAGGGCTTTACGCGAGTCAGCGGGGGGCCGCGGTCAGTAAAGGGTTTTAAACAGGAACATAGAGCGAAGCAGAAAACCAAAGGGGGGAAAAAAAGCAAAGGCACCGAACTAGCCTCAGAGCGATTTGAAACGCAGAGGGAAACGCCCCCTGTGACGGCGATGTCTGGACTTACGGGGCACGGAGGGGTAGGTGCGGTGATTTTCAGGTCCCTAGTGACTCCCACACCTGGAGGAAGGGTTGGGCGCGCGGCTATGAAGCGCAAATTTACACGAAAAACAAGAAACAACGCGCCGCAATATGACCTTCCCTCCACGATCTTCGCTTCCGGGTCCGTTGCCAGCTGCGCACGCGCGGACTCGGAGGCACGGCGGCGGGAGCGGGGCCTGGGCGGAGCGCGGCCAGAGAGGGGAGGGACGTGCGACCCAGGTCCGCGCGGGGCGGGCGAGAAGACGGGGAAGGGGCGGGGCCTGCGCGTCCCGCCGCGTCGCTGCGAAGGCGTAGCTCTCTGGGTTAGAAACGCTTGAGAATCTTTTCCGTCCGTTGATGCATCGTTGCTCCCTGCTAAGAGATTAAGTCTCTCCATCTAAAGGAAATCACTCCTAAATATTCATTGGAAGGACTGATGCTGAAGCTGAAACTCCAATAACTTAGGCCACCTGATGTGAAGACCTGACTCATTTGACCCCGATGCTGGGAAAGATTGAAGGCGGGAGGAGAAGGGGACGACAGAGGATGAGATGGTTGGATGGCATCACAGACACGATGGACATGAGTTTGGGTAAACTCCGGGAGTCGGTGATGAACAGGGAGGCCTGGCGTGCTGCGATTCATGGGGTCACAAGGAGTCGGACATGACTGAGTGACTGAACTGAGCTGAACTGAAGATGTTTTCCTCTTACATTGAAAACGGTTTAAGTCAAAAGCTTGTTTGTGCCAGTCAGTAGGTTGCACCGAGTCCTGTGAGACTGAAGCAATTCAGCGGTCTGGGATCTCAGTGAAGGATCTGTATGTGGTGGTGGTTAGATCCAGAAACATGTCCTGCCGTTGGATTTAATTTAAGCAGTCTACAGTTGTTCTGTACAAACTTGAATGTGAAATATAAGCTCTGCCTGCATAGAAGTAGCTATTTTATTGGCATGCACGAGGCCCTGGGTTCAATCCCCAGCACCTCCACCAAAAAAAAAAAAAAAAGAAGTAGCTATTTTACACTGACATCCTACAGAACAGGATTTCGGCTTCTATTCCCTATTCTAGCAGGAGGCCAACTTGGCATTCTGCCCTGTTCCAGAGACTCATAGCGACAAGACTGATCAAAGAATTTTTCACATATTGATAAATAGGCAAGTCATTCTGACATACTTCAGTTAACCTGAATTTTATGCTAAGATAGCCTGTTTGTGTCCTTTTTCCTGTGGAGGGAAAAGTCCAGTACTTCCTGTGTGTTTCTTCCCTCTATGTTTCCTTTACCCTTAAACTACTACCACAGTGACAGAGAACACTCCACTTCTGACACTTCCGATCAACAAATAAGTGGGTGTTTTTTCCACAAGCATGCGACACCAGCTGGGTGTCCTACAATTCAACTCAACCTCAACACTTATCCGATATAGCATCAGATCCCACACATCCCACAAATCTGCCCCTCCCCTGTCCCCACTCCACCCCCCCCCACAACACGTTTCAGATGCCAGTCAAAAGTCCAGGTTGTCACCTCTGCTTCTGACCAGCTGGCTTTAGATTGGGGTTTCCAAACCCCCCTTTTTCGGTTCATACAAAAGTATATACACAGCCGGTGTATATACGGCTGCTTCTAAGTCCTGAAAAAAAAAAAAATCTAATTGGAAGTCCCAAAGTTTAAATATCTCCAGTGGAAATTTACTATCACACCCCACCAAGCCATATATCAGTTGTAACTAGGCCCCAGTCATTGTAAATGTTCCTGTCCTAGCAATTTTCTCCTAGTTTGTCCACCCAATGGCCCTTCTCCATTTGCATGATACTCTTCAATTAATGAGTGATTCTTCTCAAATATAACCTTATCATAGGGCATTCTTTGTCTTTTTT